GCTCTCTCGCACTCCTCCGACTCAGAGCAGGAAAACTCTCCGAGACTGAAGAGAGGCACCCTGTCAGCCCCGCTGGATGACCTGACGACTGCTTCCTCTTTGAGGACGCACGCCCTCCGCCAAACACGAATGCCCCCCCAACCCCCATCCCATCCCTGGGGACCCAAGAGCAGGGTCAGGGCCTCTCCGTGCCTACGAAACTTGTGGTCGTGCCCAAACTCCTTAAAAGCTTGAACCCCCTCTTTCACCGAAGTCGGTTCACTCTTCCATTTCCCGGAGCCCCAAAAGGCCAGGCCCCGCGTTCCTGCCGGGCCGTGGGGGGAGGAGGCGTGGGCCTGAGAAGGGAAAACGGCCCATCGCGCCTGTCCGTGGGAGAGAGGCTTGAAGACGCCGGGGCCGAGGGCCTGGCCTCCGTCCGGCCCCCTCTTCCCGGCCCAGGTGAAAAGGCCGGCGCCGCCCGCGCACGGACGGACAAACGGCCCCGCCGCCCCGCCCCACCGCGCCGCGCGGAGCCTGATGCAGCGCCGCCGGGCCAGAGGGGGCGCTGTCTTGGCCGCTACCTTCGCTCTCCGCGCCGGGCCAGACCAGCCAGGGGCCTGCGTGGAGGCCGGGGGTGCCAGGCTGGCCTGGGGACGCTTCTGGGGGTACGGGGCCCCAAACCCACGCTCTCTCTCCCAGGTCTCAAACGGCTCGCCGTTTCCCTCCTTTTGTCGCCGTCTCCGGACACCCAGCGTCCGCCCTCCAGGCCGCGGTACGGCGAGCGCCGAGGGCCAATTCTCGCGCCGCTAGCCCTCCGCCTCCCAGCGCTCCTCAGCGCGGCCAAGCAGCGGGAGGCTACAGGGCGGCCGCCGGCTTCGGCCTGCCGGGCCGGGCACCGGTGGGTACCGGGAGGGGATGGCCGGGTGGAGCGGACGCAAGGAGCCTACCTCTGTCGCTGCGCGGAGCCGCCGCGCCGCAGAGGCCTCCTCCCCACGCTGGGGACCCGCCGCACCGGCCCGGGCCTCCGCGCGCGCCTCCCGGGGCCGTTCCGCCGCCCTCTCGCGCCGGCCCGCGCTTACCCTAAGCTCGGCGGCGGGCCTCCTGCAGACCCAGCCCGCGACCCCCGGCGAAGCCCTCGCCGCCGCAGCCACAGCCGCCGTGCAGTCCCGCCCCCGCTTAAAGCGGCCGCGCCCGCCGCGGGAGAAATAGGTCCGGGCGCGCCGCCCCCAAGTGGGTGCGGCCTGGGCGAGCGGCGGGAGCGGGGAGGGGCGTTGCGCCGGGTCTGTCCCGCTGGACCCTTTAAACCGCCTGGTGGGCGGGCCGCCCGCATGGCTGGAGAGGCCGCAGGTGCCGGCAGTCTTGGGGCTCCTTCTGCCCTAAATAGGCGCGCAGGAGCCAGGTCTGGGAAGGGTAGGGAAGGGACAGCGGGGGCTGCGGCAGGGCGGTGGGCACCCGAGGGGCTCCCTTAGCAGGCGGCGGTCGGGCCCAGGCAGAGTCCATCCCTGAACTGAATGTGGCAGTCCGGGCGGGTTTCCTCCCTCCTCCCTTCCTGGGCTCGTTTTTAACCAGTAAAGGGAGGAGGCAAGCAGGCTGGAGACAGAGGAGACCCTGTATGCAAAGGAAAGCCCTGGTGTTCTGCTCCGAGGTGGCCGGCCTGATCATTTGTTCTGCAGCTGCATCACCGAGGCGGGACCGCGGACGATCTCTGTCAGCTCCTACCTGGCGGGCAGATGTCTCTGGCCAGGACAGACCAGTGATGAGAAGAAAGGGGAGTGGGGCAGAAGGCCCTGATGCCTACGTGAGATGGCGTGGGCAGGACCAAGACGCCTTAGAAGGGAAAAGTACTGTTGAGCCTTACCTACGACTCCATCTAGAAGAGCGGCTCCTGGTAACCCATGGTTACCATGTTAGATGGACAGAGCATTAAAGTGATGGCCTATCTCCACCATCTCCATTACCTGGTTCCACCACCTACCCTTTCCCAACAATATCTTACCCTCCCCCACATCATCACTAAGTTACCAAAGTCTTTGTGTTCCCTTCACAGAAAGATACATTTCACACTTTGCAATAAATGCAGTTTGCAACAGCTGCAATGTGTCTCAGAAGAAAGGCGCCCTATTCAGAAGCATGCTCCTTACTTGTTTAAAAATGTTGCCACTCAAGAACAACCTTCTGTTGAACTGGGATTTTACATCAATATATTTCGTGTCACTTGTTTCTTCCCTGGGAGAAATAAAATGGGTCAGAATAACTTCCCCGCCCATGGAAAAAGTACTTGCAAGCAGAATCCTCTCTGCTCCTTAGCACCCCCCGCCCCCACAAAGTAATAGCTCCAAAGCTGGGGAAGGTTTAATAATCTGAGAGCTGAAATCAGTGTACAGTTGTTTCATATTGTTCCGTGGAAAGGGGGTGGAGAAAAAAGCAGAAAGTAGATAAATCTTTTGATAAATTTCAGATTAATTGCACATGCTAAAGACCTACAGTTAAGCCTAGCTCTAATGTTGGCTAAATTCCTGCACTTCCCATGGCCCTAGCTTCTCCTAACAAAGTACCCAAAGTGCTGTTTGATTTTTGTCTGCTTTCTTGTCAGAGACAGTGTCAACTCTATCTCTATCAGGTAAATTAGATCACACCACTCCTCTGCTTAAAACCCTCCAAAGACTTTTCAGCTCATCCTCATTCCCTGGCCCTATGTACCTCCCAACCTCACTCTTCATGGTTCTAGCTGCTGTGGCCTTGCTGTGCCTCAGGCCAACCTAGGACCTCTGGAATGTTCTTTCCTCAGAGGCACACAGCTGCTTGTCAGCCTTGATGAGCTCAAATATCACCTCCTCAGAGACAACTTTCTTAAGGCCCAGTGTAAGAAAACCACTGCTCCTACCACCACCCCCATTCACTATCTCATGATACTATAATACTGTAATAATTTCACCAGGGGAAATACTCAAAATGCTGTATTTCCCCTCAATAACCTCGTAATCTGAACGTCAGTTTTAGGGTGGCCTTTGCAGTGGCTTCTGTGACATAGTACTACTACATATAGTAGTCACAAGACTATCTGTGACTACTATAAAATAATTATTCAATGCAATCAAGTTACACATAAAAAAGTAATCTTTTTTTTCTGCATTTAGTTCGTTTTTGATCATTTTTTTAGAGATTTTATTTAAGAGAGAGCTTGTGCATGCACACGAGTTGGGGGAGGGTCAGAGGAAGAAGCAGACACCTGCGCTGGGCAGGGAGCCCCAACTCAGGACTCTGAGATCATGGCCTGAGCCAAAGGCAGATGTTTAACCCACTGAGCCACCCTGGTGCCCCTAAAAAAATTTTTTTTAAAGATTTTATTTTTAAGTGATTTCTATGCCCAACATGGGGCTCAAACTTAACAGCCCTGAGGCCAAGTCACATGCTCCACTCACTGAGCTAGCCAGTGCCCTCGCACTTAGTTTGTTTTAAAAGCCACTAATAACCAGACCTTTGAATAATGTTAAATAGTGGGGCGCCTGGGTGGCTCAGTGGGTTCAGTCCTCTACCTTCAGCTCAGGTCATGATCCCAGGGTCCTGGGATGGAGCCCCACATCGGGCTCTCTGCTCCGCGGGGAGCCTGCTTTCTCCTCTCTCTCTGCCTGCCTCTCTGCCTACTTGTGATCTCTGTCAAATAAATAAATAAAATATTTTTAAAAATAAAAAATAATTAAATAGTTAAATACTTGAAACTCGGTTTATTAACCTTAACATTTTTTTCCCCCACCACAATTTTCTCCCCAGTTCCTGATGGACTAGCAACACTCTCCCAGGTCTGTAAGCAATTCCGATGACGACGGCAAATACTGATCATGTGTACTGTCCCAAGCACTGTTGTATGTGTTAACTCATTTGATCCTTGCTACAGTCTCATAGAGTAGGAACTATTTCCATTTTAAAGGAAAGGAAAATGAGGGACTCAGAGGAAAGTGATTTTCCCAAGGACCCATAACTCTCAGAAGGAATCCAAAGTCTCCTGCTTCCTAAGCCTGGTATTGTCCCCAAGATGTTGATTGCTGCTACTGAGGGGGGAAGGGGGATAACGCCTGTCTAGCACTTTCAGCTCTCCTGGGGAGGCTCACTCAGATCTGTCCCCCTCCCTTAGGGTGCGATGGCAGTGTGGCCAGTGAGCCCATCCTCCGTGAAGGCCACCGCTGTCCCAGAGACAGAGGCCATACACGCAGGTGTCTTCACTCCCATGCTGCGATTCAAGTCATGGTCCATCCAAGCCCACCAGGCAAGAGGGGTTCATCCAACCTCCCTTATTCAAGTACAGGCTTAAGCAAAGGCAGAGGTGCGACAAAGATCCAAGCCGTCAGCTTCCAGTCTTGGAAGACAAGACAGGACAGCCACCTTCTAGAAGGAAAGACCTGCTTCACTCTATTATGGCGGGTGGAAGCGCCAGCACAGGCCAAAGAGGGGCCTGGTCACCCCTCACTGCGGCTGTCTGAGTCTCACAAGGCCCTCGGTGACAACCTAGCCGCAGCTGTGGGCACGAGCAGTTTGACAGCAGGGACAGAGGGTAAACTGAGGAATGACCGGAGACTCGGCGGAGGTGCTTGACTCCCTCCCTCAGGAGGGATATGGGGTGCTTGCAGTCCCTCTCCCCAGCGCCTCGCACGCAGTGGGGGCTCCACGGGAATGAGTCGCTCTCCAAATCGTGTGCGTCAAGAGGAGATATGGCAACTGGAGAAGAACCCAAAGGGGCCTGCGCACGGCTTTGCAGCGGGGCGCGCGCCTCTGGGGACGCTGAGTCACAGGCGGCGGGCGCGGACGCGAGGAGGCGGCGCAGACCCGGGGAGGGGAGGATGGTGGGGAGAAGAGGGGTAAAGGGAGGAGAGAAGAGAGGAGGGGAGGGGGCGCGGGAGGCGAAGCGCACTCGGGAAGGCGGGGGTTCGTGGGGAAAGGAGGGGTACGGCGAGGGGAGGGAGGGACGCGGGGAGGGGGCGCGGCGCGGCGCGGCGCGGCTGACGCGGGCCGGGGTCGGCGCGGCGGGCTGTGGGCGGCGGCGGCGCGCAGCGACACAGCGTCGCGAGGCGAGGACGAGCGAGCGCCGCTCCCGCACCTCCCCGCATAGTCCGCGCCGCGCGCCCCGAGGAGCGGCCGCAGCCTCGGAGTCAGCCGCGTCCCCTCCGCGCTCCTGCCGCTCCCGGCGCAGCCATGGCCCCGGCCTTCTGGCCGATCCTCAGCCGCGTCCTTTGGCTCGCCTGCCTCCTGCCCTTGGCCCCGGCTAGGGTGGCCGCAGGTAAGGCGCTGCGCGGGGCGTCCGCCCCACTGCAGCCGCAGCGCGCCCGGGGCCTCGGGGCGGTCCAGCCGTGCGCCCTGAGCGCACCTCCCTCCTCCCGGGCAGCCTCTGCAGCGCGCAGCGGAGGGGAGCGTGGCCAGCCTGCCCCTCGAAGCCCTCTCTTCTCTCCCTCCATCCTTGTCCCCAGAAGTCGGCCCCGCCCTCGAGGGGTCTCCCGCGCTCCTCGGTTCCTGCTGCCACCTCCAGATCGGCCCTGTCCTGGGAACCGCGCGCGGTGGCCAGTGCACCCATGCGGGTGCCCGGGGGGCCTCGCAGCCTCTGGGAGGTGGGGCTGGGAGGACGATGCGGGGAGACCGGGAATGTGCGGGACCCGTCATCACGCCACAGCCCCCCAGAGAGCGTGGACAGGTTGTCCGCTGAGCAGCGTCTTTGCCTTTAAATGTCGTCTTATCTGGAGAGGTTTTCCACTCTGTGTTGGCTTCAGGGAGGCTGCCATTTCGTCTTTGGAATGGTTTCCAAAATGGACCCCGAGCTGACAGGTTCTTCTGGGTGCTCCCCCCGCCCCCGCTCCGCCGGGCCATGCTTCTATGCTCTCTACTTCCCCACCGCGGAAAGGCCAGCACCAACCTTTCTGCCACATTTTGGCGACAACAAAAGGATCCGGATTGGAGAGTAGTTGGGGGACAGGTGGGATGTGGGCAGCTCTGGTGATGTGCGTGTGTTAAATTGACAACATTTTCCATTATGTCCCTTCCCCCGCCCCCCCAAGAATGGTAGAAAGAGGAAGCGATCTAATGGCAAATCGTGTAAGACAATGGAAAAGGTAAAAATAAAAACCTGCATTTTAGGGATGAATTAGGAGAATTTTGTGGGAATTGTGCTTGGTCAGGATTACCTGCTTCCCTCCTGGAATTTTCATGTAGAGATGGCGGTCTCTTGTCCATTGGGTTTACATGTATCTGGAAATAAATGATCACCATGGCCTGAACTGCAAATCAGAAAAAAAAAAAAAGTACATTAATTCTTTGGAAGTCATGTGTAGGTCCCAGCCCGGCCTATTGATGATATGATTGAAATAAGCTGGGAATGAGGCTGGGGAGCATACCTTCTCCCTCACACACAGGTTCAAAACAGAGACTTGGAAACCCTTTCCATTCTTCCCGGGGTCTGGGTCAGCCTGCACTGGACAATTCCCACACTGGAAGTCAAAGTCAGAGCCCAAGGACTGGACCATTCATGAATTCCAGGTTATGTTGTTCAGACTTCCAAGGTCCCTTGGGAGGTGTTTGGGGCTGTGCACACGTGCAGTGTGAAAGAGCCGATGCGGCCATTTTCTAGAATGTTCAGGGTCCCACATGTGTGGGAAGGTGTGCTCCAAGGGGAAGCCCACGGCACCTGTTAGTGAGTGAGTGTGGCTCCTGTGGGTCAGGCTTCGTGGCAGTTGCCACTTCGCTTTTTGCTTTGGCCCTTTCAGCTCTGGGTCACTCAGTGTACCCATGGAGCCCCCTATGCCCCTCCCTTAGCTGTTGCTCTGTACTCCAAGGCCATGTCACCTGGGCTCCCAAACCTGGAAAGATAGGTTTGGATGGGTAGGGCAACAGGATCTGGGTTTGGTTCCTTTAGCCACAAGTGGCAAAGCCTTCATGGTCCATTTCAGCTTGGATGCCGTGGACACTTCTTAGAGCCCCAAGGAAGAGAGGAGTGGCATTAACCAGGGACTGTGAAACATATGCTTGAAAAATAAAAAATAAAAGCTTGAAAAAAAGTGCCCTCGGAGCCTCCCAGTGTGTGGACAGGTGTGGGGGCTCCTAGGAGCTGGGCCAGCCTCTGCAGCAAGGGAACTCTAGCCACAGCCCCTCCCCCTCGCCCCCCACCCCACCCCTCCTCCCAGCCGGTCCATCCCCCTGGCAACGGACCTGCGTAGCGCTGACACGCGCCTGTCTCCAGTCCGCTGCAGATGCTGGATGGCCATTAGCATGCAGCCGAATGTCCCTGCCACCTGCCAGCCTCGCTCTGGCCCACGCTCCTCGCCTGGGGGGACCAGAGGGAGCCACAGGGAGATGGGGAGGGGACGGCCCCTCTTTCTGGGAAGCCTGGCCAAGTGCTGCCTCACAGCCAAAGGGAGGGAGAAGAGAACTCAGCCCAGGGGAGGGGGGTGGGTACAGATTTGCTTGGTGACTCCAGGCTGTCACATGGGGCCCTCAGGGGACTCAATGTCCCTCAGTGTAAAATACGCACTGTATTTTCTTGCAGAAATCTCTGCCATAGCATCTGGAATTCTCTCTTGGGGATTAAGACACTGCAGGTCCCTTTGTCAGTGCCAGTCCAGACGACTTCACAATCTAAAATACGGCTCTGGGGCAGGGGATTCAGAACAGGGAATGTGTGACAAAGGAAAGGCTAGAGCAGGAGTCCCCAGTAGGAACAGACAACACTGCTTAAGCGTGAAGGGGACGCAGCTTTGCTGTTCCAGCTTTGCTGAGTCTACCAAGTCTCTAGTGAGCTCCCTGAGGACAAGAGGCATTTCCTACACTTCTGGGTTCCCCCACCACTTGTGGGGCGGGGGACAAGGAAGGGGCTCAGTCAGTACCACCTGACTGAACAGTCTCTTGGGGCAGTGCTAGGTGAGCTGGTCCCTCCGCCACACTCTTCTCTCCAGGAGCCTTGGGCAACAGCAGTATTAAACACGCACTATGTGTCAAGCACTTTGCTGGGCGCATGGGGAAATGACAATGACCCCTGCCCTCAAGGAGCTTGCAGTGCAGCAAGGGAGACAAAGAAACCTTCATGCCCATATGAGGTTGGTACCACTGTGTGTCCAGGCTGCTTGGAGAGCACTGAGAGGGAAAGGGGTTCAGGGAAGCTTTCCTGGAAGAGGTTATATCCACCGACATGTAGGTAGAGAGGGGCAGTGGGGACAGCGTGTACAAAGGCCCTGAGGTTAGGAAGGACAGAACAGGTTGGGAGAGCTGCAAGAGTTAAAGTGGCCAGCCCCAGCATGGATGTGCCAGAATGTGAGTTCGGACTCCACACTGAGGCCGGTCCATGAACACATTAGGTGTGGAGGAAGCTCCTTGCTGAGAGAAGGGAGGACTGGAGGCCGAGTGCCAGGGCCAAGGATGAAGCAGTAACTATGGCTTGAATGCTGGCTAGTCATGATGGAGAGGAAGCAAACGTGCTCAGATGGGAGGAGTAGTGGCAAAGGACTCGGGATTGACTGATTCCTGGGACAGCTGTTCCCTTGGCCCCAATGGAGAGCAAGGGCTGAAAATGGTAGGTGTGGGGAGGGGAGAGCCCTAGACCAGCACTGTCCAGCAGAACATGGGGTGATGAAGGAAAAAGTCTACATCTGCCCTGAAGGGTAGTTACTAACCCCATCTGGCTCTGAAGCACTTGAAATTGTGGCTAGTGCAATTGAAGAACTGAATTTCCAGTGTTGGTTCAATTTAAGTAATTAACTTTGATTAATTTAAGTGTAATTACATGTGGTTAGCAGCTCCTGTTTTGCTCAGTGCAGTTCGGGAGCCCAGAAAGTAGGTCTAGGTTACTTGGTTCCGCCAGCGTTTAGGAGGCATCCAAAACCAGGAGAGCAGATGCGAGTGGACAGGAAGGTGGGTGGGAGTGAGGGAAATGAGTGGAGAGGGGCTTGGGGCCCCTCCAGCCTTCCATCTATGTCTGCTCTTCTGGTGAGGTATATGTTCGTATAGGCTGGACACTCTCGAACCTGTCACCCTTCAGAAACCTCACCTGAAGAGGAAGTTTACAAATTATAACCAAATTGTCACCAAGACGTGCAAGAGTGCGACTGGCAAGAGTGAGGGGTTCTGGGAATCAAGATCTACTTGCTTGGGGTGCCTGGCTGGCTCAGTCAGTACAGCTTACGACTCTTGATCTCAGGGTAGTGAGTTTGAGCCTGTGTTGGATGTAGAGATGGCTGAAAAATAAAGTCTTTTAAAAAATGAGAAAAAAAAAAAGATATTGCTGCTCGAGGGATTATCATACCCAGAGTGAAATTCACATTAGTGTGACCATGGACGTGCTTTAGATGTGTACGTGCTTTAGAAAATAAAATAATTCAAAACTGTGTGCAGAGTGGGATTATGTCACATTAAAAACTTCTGTGCATGAAAAAGAGACACGAGGACAGGAGTATGGTTGCAGCTGTTTTGTGGAAGTAGGATAATGGGACATTTCTAATATTTCTTTTTTTATTTTTAAAGACTTTATTTATTTATTTATTTATTTGAGAGAGAAAGATCACAAGTAGTCAGAAAGGCAGGCAGAGAGAGAAGCAGGCTTCCTGCTGAGTAAAGAGCCTGATGTGGGGCTCGATCCCAGGACCCTGAGATCATGATCCAAGCTGAAGGCAGTGGCTTAACCCACTGAGCCACCCAGGCGCCCCTTCTAATATTCTTTACACAGAAGTATGTATTACTTTCATGATGGAAAGAAAGCTTGTTTTATATATCTTACTTTGTTTAGATAATAAAATGTTATGCATAAAGTAAAGCAGTTGAAGAATAATGACTTAGGAAAAGACCCGTGATATGGAATTGAAAACAACAATGATAGAATACAGAATTCCAAATTATGAGCACAATCTTTTTTCAAGTAAGAAATGCACACATATGGTAACACTGGGTTGTTACTGATTATTTTTATTTTTAAGAGAATTGTTTAAGTTTTAATTTTCTATTTTCTCTATTTTCGGGTTACAATTAGTTTTACTTGCCATGCGGTAGTCAGTTGGGAGGGGGGTGGTATTTGTAAAGGGCCGTGACCCGGCCTCCAACCCATACACTCAAGGCCCTGTTCTCTGTTAGGATCCTCTAAGACTTGATTCCCAGGTTCCCTATAAGAGCCGCATCCCCCACATTTTAGTTCAAGTTTCCTGAGGAGTTGAGCAGCCTTACAGGTGCAGCGTTGGCCCCAGTGGGAATTGCGGAGGTCATTTAAGAGCAGTGAGCTTTGGGGGTCCGGTGACAATGAAGATATTACGTATCTTTACTACTGAGTACTTGAAATGCAGTTGCGGGGGGCGCGGGGCTGGGCAGGGGTGGCGACCTGGGTGGCTCAGTCTGTTAAGTGTCTGCCTTCAGTTCGTCATGACCCCCAGTCCTGGGATGGAGTTGGGCTCCCTGCTTTGTGGGGAGTCAGGTTCCCCCTCTCCCTGTGCCCCTCCCCGCCCATGCTCTAGCCAGTGCACTCCCTCTCTCTCAAATAAATAAATAAAATCTTAAAAAAAAAAAAAGAAAGAAAGAAAGAAATGCAGCTACTGTGGCTAAGAAAGTGGGTTCTAAATTTTGTTTCATTGTAACTGAAACCTAAGCAGCCACGCATGGCCAGTGGCTAATGTGCTGGGCAGTGAAGATCTAGAATGTTTTCCTTCACGTTCAGAAGAAGGCTTGGCTTGGGGCGCCTGGGTGGCTCAGTGGGTTAAGCCTCTGCCTTCCACTCAGGTCATGATCTCAGGGTCCTGGGATCCCTGGGATGGAGCCCCTCATCGGGCTCTCTGCTCAGCGGGGAGCCTGCTTCCCTTCCTCTTTCTCTGCCTGCCTGTCTTCCTACTGGTGATCTCTGTCTGTCAAATAAATAAATAAAATCTTAAAAAAAAGAAGAAGAAGAAGGGTTGGCTTGAATCACAGTAGACCTTTGTCCCAGGGTTGGTCTATCACTGTCTAGGCATTTGGCCTCTAAGAGGGTCCAGACTTTGTGTTTCAGATCGGAATTTTGTTTGACATGGAAAGACTAGTCCGAAGGAGTGGGTAATAGAGGGCAATTTTTTTGGCAGCAACCAAGAGGGTCCCTCCCGTGACATACGTTGGCAGTCATTTTCATAGCTAAGAAATAAGTCTGGCCAGGTCAGGCCTGGGCTCTGGAGGGCCCTGCTTGGCTGGCATGAAAAGAAAATCTCTGGACTCCCCTGGGCCCGGGTTGGAATCCCAGCTTACACTGAACCAGCCACATGACCCTTGGGCAAGTCACTTGTGCAGGCTGAGCCTCAGTTTCTCCACTTATAAAACAATAAGAGAAGCTAGCCCGGAGGGTGACGGTGGGTTCCTTGCCACACCTGTCCTGAAACACAGTCTTTGTCTCTGGACTTCTAGGGCTGTATGAACTGCACCTCACCACTGATGGCCCTGCCACCACGGGGGCAGAGGTGACGATCACAGCTAGCCTGGTGGCCAGTGACAATGGCAGCCTGGTCCTGCCCACCAACACCCGCCTCTACCACTTCCACTGGATCCATACCCCGCTGCTGCTCACAGGGAAGACCGATGAGGCTTTCAGCTCCACCATCCGTGCCGTGGGGACCGTGCCCGGGGACTTCCCGGTCTCCGTCTGGGTCACTGCTGCCAACTGCTGGACATGCCCGCCTGTGGCCAGGAGCCTCCTCGTCCTCCCCATCACAGGTGAGGAACTTTTCTGTTTGCTAATGGGCCTTCAAACTCTTGCTGCAGAAAAAAACCATCCAGTCTGGTTAGTAATGGTATGAACAGGAATCGGACTCATGGTCCCTTCTCCATTATCTGTGTTGGAATGGATGCTTAAAGCACATGTTGCTACTGGGGCTATAAATTAACACAACCCTTTGGAGAGCAGCTGACTGATACTTTTCAATGGTTATGCACTATTTCAGTCTGTGGTCTGTTCATTCTTGTCCCTCCAGCTTCCCACCCTAACACTCCGCTCTCCCTCCAGGAAGTCCCTGCTCTCTCTGAGTTTACAATCTGTCAAAGAATTTGTCTTCAGGAAGTACATTTCCATTTGGATAATGTTTTATGCACAAATATGTTCATTGAAGTGGTGTTTATAACAACAGAAGAAAATATTAGCCAAGCTAAGTTTGCAACCATAAAGGGACTGGTTAAGTATGTGGATATAATTTGTATAATGAATAACAATGACATTTACAAAGACTTTGTAATGTCCTGAGGGAATATTCCTGCTTATAAAATTTTAAAAAGCAAAACACAGACTTCTATAACCAATTTGCTTAACTGTGTTTAACATATGTATGTATATGTAATGTGCATCTTTATTAAATATGTACACACAAATGCTTTGCAGCTCTTCAAAACATCAACAAAAGTTGTGTTTGAATGACTGGTGGTTTCTTTTCATCCTACATTTCAGCATTTTTCCAAATGAGCTTTATTGAGCACACCTTACTTTCTGCATTTGGGGTGAAAAAAAATCAGCTCCTAATTTTTATTTATTTATTTATTTATTTGGGGGGTAGAAAAGAAGACACAGAACAGCGATCCTTACCCAGTCCAGCACATTGGGAGTACAGCTGTGATCAGTAGAAGTGCTAATTTTTTTTTCTAGACACATCTAATAATCTGAAATCTCTCTTGAGAATTTATTTCAAAGCCTATGCCTTTTCTCCTGGTCCTGGGCATCTTTTATGCCAGAAAGTTCGGGATCCTGGTGAAAGTGGCGTGGGAGCAAGGCAGTGCGTGTGGCTTGTGCTGTGAGTCTTAACCAGTGTCCCAGGGTCCCAAGCAGCAGGGCAAAGATGTGGGGGCTGTGCGTCTCTATGTTCAGTGACCTGCAGGGTCCCCTCCTGCCTCCACTAGCTCTGACAACCAGAAGGTCCTGGTGGGGACAGGCTGTCCTGCCAGCTGGCCTCTGACGTCACTCCTTTGCCCCGCCATCCCGCCCCCTTGGGGGACTCACCTGCTTATGATCTCTCTCCCAGAGCTCCTTGTGGGGAACCTCGTTGTCACCCAGAACACCTCCCTGCCCTGGCCCAGTTCTTACCTCACCAAGACAGTCCTTAAAGTTTCCTTCCTTCTCCATGACCCGAGCAACTTCTTCAAGACGGCCTCATTTCTCTACAACTGGGACTTCGGAGACGGGTATGTGCTTCCCCACTGATGCCCCAAAGCTTTGGCCTGCGGTTGGTGGCCCCATAGTCCCACGCAAAGTGCTCTGTACTTTCCCACCCTTACCTCCTCACTCCTTCTCGCTCCAAACCTTCCTTCCACACCTGCTCTGTGTCAAGCATGGGGTAGGTAGGGACCAACGTGAGCCAGTCACAAGACCTGCCTCTGAGGTGCCTACAACCTAGTAGAGGAGGTCACTGGTGCCCCAGACATCCCTTTAAGAAAGGTCAAAGTAGGATTTTTCTCCATTTGACTCTGGAAGGACCTATTTGGCTGATGGAACCTGCAATTATACACATGTGGCAGAACTCGGGTGTTCTGGCTTCATTTCTCCAGACTTCTCCTCTCCGAACAAGTCTGGCTGGAGGAGGCAGGTCAGGGAGTGGGGCTCAGGGACGGAGCCCAGGCAGCCCACAGACACTCTGATCTCCTCTGAGGGTAGTGCTCTGCTGAGACCCCTCAGTCCATTTTGGTCCCCTCGAGTCCCTGGCTGATGGCGCTTCCTACTGTATCCCATATGTTTCCACCTTCCATTGGTGGAAGCCAACTTCCACCAGCCAACTTCAGTTAGCTTCCTTAAGACACTTCTCAGGTTTGCAGAGAAACACAGACCAATCTTTCAAGTTCATCGGAGGCTTAGTAATCCTTCTCGTGTATCACTCCGCCCCCCGTGGGACTTACAGGCTCAACATGCTTTCTTTTTTTTTTTTTTTAAGATTTTATTTATTTTATTTGACAGGCAGAGATTACAAGTAGGCAGAGAGGCAGAGGCAGGCAGAGAGAGAGAGAGAGGAGGAAGCAGGCTCCCCGCTGAGCAGAGAGCCCGATGCGGGGCTCCATCCCAGGACCCTGGGATCATGACCCGAGCCTAAGGCAGAGGCTTTAACCAACTGAGCCACTCAGGCGCCCCAACTAAGAGGTCTTAACGATTTGAGTAGATGTGTTATGGACACCGTGTCCAGGATGGAAACTTAATATTGCAAAGATGTCCATTTCCCTCTAGTTATCCCATAAGCTTGATGCAAGCCCAATAAATACTCCATTTGGTATAATTGTGGAATGTGACAAAGATTCTACAGTTCATCTAAATTTGGTGTTTAAGTATGCACATGTATACACCCATATACGTATGCATGAGTGTATATATACATATAGACATGTATAAAAATATATGTCATTACAAACATACATGTGGTTTCATAACCTAAAGAACATCTGGAACATCTGTCACAAACAAGGGGACAGGCTCTATACTAACTAGGAGCATTTCTTTTCACATTAAATACTTTATTCACTATTTTTACTATAATGGGACATTCTTTGACTAGCCAATGAAACAAGACAAGAAAAAGAAATATAACTACTGTAAGGGAGGAGATAAAAATCATCACACACATAGATGATCTGGGAAACACCAGAGACTCAACTGAAAAATCTTAGAACTAAAAAGAGATTTTCATGATATAGCTGGTTATAAAACAAAGATTCATAGCCTTTCCATATGATGGCAATAGGAAAAAAACTTTTATAATAGTTATAAAACAGGAAAACTAAGAATAAACTTAGCCCAAAATGTTAGGGTTTATGTAAATAAAACTCCAGATTGTATCTAGAACCTTAAAAAAATGAAGAGAGAATGCCTCAATATTGTCAAAAGGAAAAAAGATCAGAAAAGCAGAATGATCAGGGCGCCTGAGTGGCTCAGTGGGTTAAGCCCCTGCCTTTGGCTCAGGTCATGGTCTCAGGGTCCTGGGATCAAGCCCCGCTTGGAGTTCTCTGCTCACCAGGGAGCCTGCTTCCCACTCTCTCTCTGCCTGCCTCTCCGCCCACTTGTGATCTCTCTCTGTCAAAAAAATAAATAAAATCTTAAAAAAAAAAAAAGAAAAGAAAAGCAGAAAGCTGATGAGGGAGGATGGGGAGAAGTAGAAATGCATACATAAATGTATTTTCAAAGCTACAAATAGGGGCACCTGGCTGGCTCCATCAGTAGAGCTTGCAACTCTTGATCTCTGGGTTGTGAGTTTGAGCTCCATATTAGGTGTAGAGACTACTTAGAAGTAAAATTAAAAAAAAAAAAGTCACAAATAATTTGCAGCAATCAAAGGCTGGTCAACAGAACAGACTGGAAAAGGCAGACGCAAACCTGAGTTTATACACACATCTATTATATGGTAACGGTGGTATTTTCTAGCCAGTGAGTAAAGATAGATTATTTAATAAATGGCACTCAGGCAGTTGGTTAACTATTTAGAAGAAAAACAATCTTATCCTCAACAAAAGCAATTCCAGATAAACTGAAAAATCAAATATAATGAACCAGGACTAGATTGAAATGTAAACGATCCCCTGCAATTGGATAATTTGGCAGTGGGGAAAGCATTTCTAAGAATCGAGAAACAGAGGCAGAAACTAGGAAGGAAAAGAAAATGCTAGATTTGGCTCATTAGATTTAAAATCTGAGTATGAAAGAAGTAAATCAAACCACAAGGCAAAAGTTAAACTGGGTTAAATTGGGTTTAGAAAATATCTGGAAGATATTTAATGGGCTAAACTTCATATGTAAAGAGCATTGAGAAATCAACAAAGATTTTCTTTATTATTAAACTTCCTTTGAAATAATTCAGGTAATTGCAGGAAAAAGCATGATATTATATACTTTACATGTCATATTGTAACCTATGATGGAGATACGATTTTGTGTTACAGATGAGAAAAGTAAGACTGAGACTTATACAGCTAGGAAATCTAGAACTGAGATTCAGAGCCAAGTATGTCATAACTCCAAAGTATATACTTTTTTCCCTATCAGGATTGTTCTTGTCTCTAATGCAGGGGCTCTTTTAGATTTCTGGTGGAACGGGGCAGAGCACTTCCTGGCAGCTGACAGGCCCTTGTTGCTGGGAGTTCTCCCACCTGTCACTTAAAAGCACAAAGATGACCTGCAGCCACTTCACCCAAGCATGGCTGACCTTGCGTCCTGGCTGGCTTTGGGGGGTGCTGCTGTGATGATGTCCGGTTTGCTCACAAGTCATTGGTAGCCGAGCTTGTCGCTCCACGGACACCCCTGACTCTAAGAGGCCATGTGAGTCACTTCTGTCATCTCCCTCCTGTCACCTTACAGCACCCAGATGGTGACTAAAGACGCTATGGTCTATTACAACTATTCCATCATTGGAACCTTCACTGTGAAGCTCAAGGTGGTGGCTGAGTGGGAACAGGCAATACAGAATGCCGGGAAGGGCATCATGCAGAAGACAGGCGACTTCTCTGCCTCGCTGAAGCTGCAGGGTGGGTTTCCGGGGTGTCCGGCCCCCTGGGGAGCCCTGGGCAGCACTCTTTCTGGGATTGGAGCCCATGAAGTTCAGAGTGGCTCCAGCTGGGCATGGGGCAGGGCTGAGCTTGGATGCCTGTCCTCTCTTTGCGTCCCCCGGGCAGCCCTCTGAGCAGTTGGCCACTATCCCCACTTCGGAGGGGGAACTGGAGGCCACGGAGGATGTCACATGGCCACCAAGGGGCAGAGCTGGATTTGAACCCAGGCCCGCCTGCTCCCAGAGCCAGAGCCTGTGGCCAGACACTGTGTTGTGAGCCAGTGGGTCCACGTGGCTCTTTGTTCTCTGGCCACACTGGCGTCCTGCCAGGGACTGTCCTGTTGGGGCTGCGACAGCCTTGGTCTCCTGAAGAGAGGAGATGCCCAAACCCACCTTTCCCTGATTTTGGCAAGAAGGGGTGCTTGGGCAGCTGCGGCAGCTTTCTGAGCTGTGCTGCAGTGGGTGTGAATGGGGTGCTGTTTTCCCCCGCGTTGCACAGGTAGGGGTGGTGGTGATCCAGAGCTAGCCCTCCATCCTGGTTACCAGAGCCCTGCCAGCTTCCTCCAGCATCCTCACTCTGAGCAGCTCCAGCACCTGCTGCTGTGGGGGGCGGGGGCAGAGTGGGACTCAGGCATGCCCTGGACAGACCTGCGACCCTCACCTTGGCAGAGACCCTCACAGGGTGGTAGTCACACAGCCCTGGGAGCTCTGAGACCACCGTCCTCAGCCACCAGGTCTAATGGTGCCGTCTCTGCCTTTCAGAAACCCTTCGAGGCATCCAAGTCTTGGGGCCCACCCTAATCCAGACCTTTCAAAAGATGACAGTGACCTTGAATTTCCTGGGGAGGTGAGTGAACCCCAGAGACGACAGAGGGTGATTCGTTGCCCTGCCCACACTCTCTCCCATGAGTGAGAGTGAGCCTGAGAGCTCCATCCCCTGAGAGGCCCCAAATTTGGGGGCCAGTGGAAGCTTCCACCACCTTGCCCGGCAGCTGTGAGAGAGTTCTGGGCACAGCTCCATACTCGAGATCCAGGGGACAGGGCACAGGCCCTTTGGAGCTGTCTGCAGTGTGGGCATCAAGGCAAAGGCAGGCGAGGAACCAGGTGAAAAGCCCTCTGCCTGTGGCTCAGGCCTGCTTCCAGCCCCCAGAAAGCCACCTTGGGTGGGAACCAGCCCAGCTCTTGGCAAGAACAGCATTAAGCTGAGGATGTAGAAGCCGGGCACGTTCTTTGCACGAGGGTGGGTGGAGCCGCAGAGGTCAGTGGTCAGGGCTCAGCCCTCCAGGAACTCTGGCTGGGGGGACCGGCCCCACCTCTCAACTCAGGGCCATGACAGAGGGAAGCAAGGCTTGATGGGGAGCAAACTACGCAGCCAGGAAAAGAGAAATATGAGCCGTGGGGCTGGGGGAGGTTTCTAAAGCTTGTGGGGAGCTTTGCGGGCAGGTGCTTAGGACTTGAAGAGTGGGTGGGAAGCCTTTCGGGCTTGGCAGATCCAATGGCTGAGGTGGCAGGAGTGTGTTTTACTTGGGCCTGGGGTGGCCTGCTCCACATTCCTGAGATGGACCTATGCTTTCCAGCTCCTGAGCCTGGGCTGTGGCGGGTGGATGACCCTCTCAGATCCTATTCAAATGCCACCTCCTCCAGGAAGCCTTCCCTGACTTCCCCATTAAGAATGTGCCCACCTGTCCCCTGTGCCTCCACAGCACACCCCGTGGGTCCCTGGAGCAATCATCCTGCCTCGTCCAGCACTCTGTGCCTATCCCTGTTTGCCTTACTAGCCTGGCACTCCCTTGGGGTCTGGGGTGGGGGGTGTCTTTTATTTACCATTGTGTTCTCTGGGTCTGGAAGGGGTGAAGCAGAGGCCAGGACAGCTAGGTGTTTTGTCCTGAAAAGGACACTTAAGTTCACGGTTGTCTGGCCTTTCTCAGGCTTGGTCTGAGCTCACACTGCTTGCTGAGCCATTGCTGAGGACCCACCCCCATTTCCCTGCAGCCCCCCTCTGACCGTGTGCTGGCGTCTCAAGCCTGAGTGCCTGCCGCTGGAGGAAGGGGAATGCCACCCCGTGTCGGTGGCCAGCACGGCCTACAACTTGACCCACACCTTCAGGGATCCCGGGGACTACTGCTTCAGCATCCGGGCTGAGAACGTCATCAGCAAGACACACCAGTACCACAGGATCCAGGTGTGGCCCTCCAGTAAGTGACCTTCCCGGCCACCACCGCCAACATGCAAGCCAGCCCACCAACACGAGAATCCACACCAAACCTACGGCCCAACCAACACTGTTGACTCTATGCCCAGACCTCCCCCAGCCCACCCGTGCCGTCACTGGCCAGCCCAATACCTCTCGGTTCTACCAACACCAGCCCCGTGGGCCATACCAACACCCAGCTTGACCACCCAGCTCTGCTGCCATTACCACACACACTCCCGATGGCCCTTCTGGCACCTTCCAGACCCAGGAGACACCACCATCTCCACTCCTCCCACCAGCCCCGCCACTGCCATCTGCGCCCAGGCCCTCGATCCCATGCTACCCAGCAGCCAACAGCTTTAACTCTCGCTTGCTGCCACTATCACGGTCCCCGGTGTCCTTCCCATGTATTACCAATGCCACACTGTCCCCATCATAAGCACTCCCCCGCGATCACAAGCCTCCCTCCTCTGCCATCACCTTGATCCTGGCACTGCTGTCACCACTAAAACCAGGCCCCAGGGAGTGGGTGCCGCTCAGCAGTGAAGTGGGGTCCCTGTCATCTGTCAGGACCCCTGGCCACCTCCCCTGGAATGTCCTTCCCCGAGTCTCTGTCAGGCCCGGCCCCTGGCTAGTCACAGGATTAGCTGATGATGGCTGAAGTTCTACCCTTCCTTTCCAGGGGTGGGAGCTCTTCTGTGACCCCAGAAAAGCACTTAGTTCCATAGAGGAGAAAGTGGGATCCCAGAACCCTAAGGGATGGTGTTTCAGGGGCCCAGCCAGGTCACAGCCCTTAGGGTACACACGGCAACCTCGCCAGGTGCCTTCGTCCCCCGGGTTGGACCTACAAGTGCACCACTGTCTCCTCCGGTCTCCCCAGTCCCTGTCTGAGCCACTGGGCAGACGCCGTGCTCCATTCTGAGCCCTGGCTGGCCTTGTGGACCTCCCTGGGGGTCTGGGGTCTTGCCTCTCCCAGCCCCTCCTGGGCATTGAGTGCCCCGGGGCCCCCCGAATCCTGCAGAGGAGACAGCTTTCCAGCTCATCTGCGCTGCCTTTTCCTGGGAAGCAGAGCCTCCTGGCACACTGTGGCATCTACACCAGGGGTAGGGTGGATAAGGGAGGAAGGGGGAGGGGGACCGCATTTGCTGATCACCTGCCATGCCCCTGGCACACTCACACCCCTCCCCTCGTGGCATCCCTGAGGCAGCCTCATGGGTCAGCATTAGCATCGGGGAGTTTGGTCAGAGCCAGGATTCGAACCCAGGACCACCTTATTGCAGACCCTGGGTTCTCCCTGTTTCCCCATGCACCTTTCTGACTCAAGAGGTCAAGGGGTGGAGCCTAGAGCTGGCAGACAGCCACAGCAGGTTACAAGGCTCCGGTGTGTCCTCACAACAGCCTTCCCGTCTCCAAGGCAAGTCGCCCAAGTGAGAGTGGGGAGGCAACTGTGGCTCTTGGATGGCCTGGTCATGGCTCCCATCCTGTGCTATTCATGAGGGCAAGTCATTAAGTCTGGCCCACTCTCAGGGGGTGGGGGACTTAGCTGCCCCTCTTGAAAGTGACCATCCAGTAACATGTGGACATATTTTAAAACCTTAACGCACCCCTCCTTGGTTTTTGTAGACTCCTAGATTGGCCCACTGGGGATTGGCCTAGTTGGGATCCACGTGCCTAAGTTAAAAATAGCTCTTGTGGGGTTTGACTGGTCTGTCCCCCACTGCGGTCTGAGAGCTGGCCTTCCCCACCAACTCCCCAGACCCATGACTTCACCGTGTCTCACTCCCAGGCATCCAGCCGGCCGTCTTTGCCTTCCCGTGCGCCACGCTGATCACCATGATGCTTGCCTTCATCATGTACATTACCCTACGGAATGCCGCTCACCAGAAGGACATGGTAGAGGTGGGTGCTCATGAGGGTGGCGGGTGGACCATTGGGCCCTGACCAGAGAAGGGGGCGTGGACGTCACAGCGAGGTCCTAGGACTGGGCACGATGTGCCCGAAAGAGTCATAGACCACGCTGAGTTGGGCCCTTCCCATCTGACTGACCGCTGTGCTCAGCCCTTGCCAGCAGCTGGGCCCCAGGGAGGGCAACTGGAGGAGGGAGGCGCCAGGAGCAGAAAAGCCAAGGGCACGGGGCAGCACTGCAAGCCTCCAGACAGCTGAGCTCATAAGGCCCAGGTCAGAGAACTGGCAGGCGGGTGATTGACCCGTGGGGTTTTGTTCACCATAGGTGGCTGATTTTGACTTTTCCCCCATGTCTGACAAGAACCCGGAGCCTCCCGCTGGGGTCCGCTGCTGCTGCCAGATGTGCTGTGGGCCCTTCTTGCTGGAGACTCCCTCGGAGTACCTGGAAGTTGTCCGCGAGAACCACGGGCTGCTGCCGCCCCTCTACAAATCCGTCAAAACGTACACCGTGTGAGCGCCCCCCGGTCCCGTCGCGGCATTAACTACCGCCAGCGGGGCTCTGCGGACAGGGTGGTGCACACCGCCGAGCAGGCGGGGCTCCAGATGCGGGGCTGTCCTCCCTGCTGGCCATCCATCTGTGTCTCCAGCTGCCACCATGAGCTTCCCGCAGCCCCACACCCCTGCCATCCGTCCATCTGTACAGTCTGGCCTCTGCTGTGAGCCCCTCTCAGTCCGACCCTCCCAACCCTTGCCTTTGAAGAGCCCCAAGTGGGGCCCCGACGCTCACTGGGGTCCATCCCCTCTCCCAAGGGTGCCTGGCTTCCCCTCACCATTCCTCCCCCCGTGTTGGCCCTTCTGCTGTCTGTCTGGGGTCTGAGCTTCCTCCCCGGGGTGGCCCTGCCCAGGTCAGAGAACTGGCAGGAATGTCACCAAGGGTTGAGGCTACAACACAAAAGGTTATACACACAGAAACAAGCGCATGTGTGCGCACACTCACACACACACACAGATACACATGTCACACAGGCATCTCCGACGGTGTCCTCTGTATCAGTGATGTTGGTTGCTGTGTCCTGAATTAGGACCAAAATGACATGGGACTTTCTGCACTTGGCCACGTGCCGCTTCCAGGCCCGGCCCTTCCCTTCGTGCACTGGTCCCTGTGGCTCCTGGGGTCCACTCTGAGGACACCCCGTTTCCTGCCTGCTTGCTGGGCGTGGGGTGGGGGCAGGGCTAACGCTTCGTGAGTGCGGAGGGCTTTATAAACAGCACCTTCTGTTCCTGAGTCTGTTAACTTCCATGAAGGGAAAAGAGAAGCCAGCCAGTGGGGACATGGGTTCGCTGTGGGGGATGGTGTCCTTGGCCCTCTGCATGGCCTGGGGGAGGAGGAGGCAGGTCTGGAGGGATCTCTTGGGGGAGCCTAGAGCTGGGGGAGACAGCGGATCCAGGTGCCTGCGGAGAGAGACCACAGTGAGCCCCCTCCCCACCCCGCCTGGCATAGCTGCATAGGAGCCTGGGGAGCCAAGTTGGGGGCCTGTTGGGACGGGAGGGGGCAGGGCCGTGGGGGCGAAGCTCTGTTGCCGTAATCTTTGCTCTCGGACTTTGTGCAGACAAGAGCATTCCCGCTGTCGTGCTGCTCATTCTCATGAAACACTGCCATTAGTGCTGAATAAAGCTTGTGTGCTCTCAGAATAGCCGAGCAGATGCCAGGGGGCCCCGAGTCTCTTTCTTTTCTGGGCCTGGGGCTTGGGGCTTTGGGTCTTGCACAACCAGCGCCCCTGCTGTGTTGTCAGGCAAGCATGGATGGAGCTGCTGTCTGGGGCGTTGGGTCGGTCGTTGGGACCAGCACTCCTTAAACCTCTGCTCAGGCTGCATGGCCGACTGACCAGACTTAGAGCCGGGGGGGGGGGGGGGAGGGTTGTCTCTTGGAGGTGGGTCCAGGTCCCCCCACCCCATGACTCCAACCAGCAGCCAAGCCTGCAGCTTTGGCGAAGGATTAGAGCCCAGAGGACCGATCCTGCCGCCCTGCTCACACCCAAATCCACACCTGCTGAGGGGGCAGCCACCCCGGTCCCCTCCCACAGGCCAGCAGGAATGCTGGTGCACCATCAGGGGTGGGCGCCTCTGGTCGCACTTGAACTTGGATGTGCCTGGGTGGCACCAGAGGTCTCACCACACCCCATACTTTCATTCAGGACGTTGGGAGTGGGGCCTGGGAATCTGGGTTTCTAACAAGATCCCAGATGCATCGTATGGGCCAGGTCTGAGGACGGCATTTACAGTTGCCCTCCTCTTGAGTCGCCTTCCATCCTAAGCTCCCTTTCTTCCATAAGAGATCTGGAGTTTTTTCTAAATTGCCTGTGCTCTCCTGCCATCCTCACGACCCAACCCAGTGAGCCAGTGTGCCCAATCCTCAAGCTGGAACATGGGTGGATGTGAACCCCACCCCCACCCTAGCCGTACCCCTCTGGGAAGCCCCACTTTTCCACGAGCCAAGTCAGTTGGGGAAGTTTCTCAGACTTCAGCACCAGCATGGGGGGCAAATGCTGCCACACACACCTTTCCACTGACCTCCCCCTAGCCAGGGGTGAGAGTGTCAGGCACCTGTGTGCTACAGGGGACCCTTATGCCTCCTGATAACTGGTTAGAGGATCAAACAAGACCTTGGAAAAGGTGGATGGGGTGGGGGGAGGGGACTGTCCTTGCCGTGAATCATTTTACTGTGTTCCTAATAGATGAGGCGACACGTGGTTTCGAGCCACTCCCAGCTGGCATAGGACACGGCTCCCCATCTCTGCACGTGCCTTCGAGAGAACCTGGGATTCGAACATCTAACCCCCTCCCCAACCCTCCTGGGGAATTTAGAAGTGGTTGTTCTCATTACAAAAGGAGATCTAGCTCTAAAAACCGCGGTACTCAGGTGTTTCTCTTACAGAAGTTAAAACAATTAAGAAACCAAATTGTTAACCACCGTAAAAGAGCTGGAAAGAATTACTGGAAGGGAAATGCAGAAAATGACAACCACAACAATAAGAGACACTTTGCCAATGGAAGACTCATATAACTGTAGTTCAATCTAGTAGGAAAACATCTGACCTGCAAAATTTGGGAGTACGCAGGCTGTCGAGGACAGCGGCTGGGTTGAGCCGCAGAGCTCTGAGCACTGACCCTGAGCAAGGCAGGTCTTCGAGGTGCTCCCACATTGCTATGCTGTCTCAGCTGGGGGTGGTGGGGATACAGGTGACTGCAGGCCAGGTGGGGGGACTTGTGGGGAGCTAACTGTATACTCACCCACCAGCCCCTGGTGTCTTCATAAGCGGTGTCACAATTCTATACTAGCCCTTCCCACACACATATCCCCTCATCCCCGCAGCCCCTGCTGGCAAGAGGGGCCGGGGCAGCTATTCTCACAGCCTGCCCTTCTAGAAGGGACCCAAGTAACGCCGATGAGAGGCTGTGGGTTCCTATGACCACAGGGAGTCAAGGGTAGAATCAGTTGAATGTATTCTTGCCCGGACTTGGGAAGAGCTCTTTTTCCCTTTGAGAAGCCTGGTCCAGTTACCTTGGACAGAGTGGGGTGTTTTTTGGAAGGATTCTGAGCAGTTGAGCCTGATGGGGTTAAAGTGGGTTTCCAGGGGTGCCTGGGTGGCTCAGTGGGTTGAGCCTCTGCCTTCAGCTCAGGTAATGATCCTGGGGTCCTGGGATTGAGCCCTGCATCGGGCTCTCTGCTCTGTGGGGAGCCTGCTTCCCCCTCTCTCTGCCTGCCTCTCTGCCTACTTGTGATCTCTCTCTCTCTGTCAAATAAATAAAATCTTAAAAAAAATAAATAAAGTGGGTTTCCAAGGAAATGTAGATGAACACACTGGTACTGAGTTGAATAGTGACTGCCCCCAAATTCACGTCCACCCACACCCATGAACTGATATGGAAATAGGGTCTTTGCAGATGTAGTCAAATTAAGATGAGATCTTACTGGAATGAGGGGTACCCTAAACCCAATGGCCAGCGTCCTTATAAAAAGAGAAGAGACGCAGACAGATACACAGGGAAGATGGTCATGCGGTGGGGGGCAGGGACAGGGTGATGAGAGCACCAAGGGTCACTGGTGCCACCAGAAGCTGGGAGGCACAGAACGGATTCACGCAGGTTAGCCTGCATGGACCACCATAACAAAGCCCCACGGCTAGGGGACTTCAACAGACATTTATTTTCTCATAGTCCTGGAGGCTGGAATTCAGAGATCAAGGTGTGGTGTCTCCCAGGGGCCCTCTCCTTGGCCTGATGGCTGTCCCCTGTCTCCCTTTCCTCTGAGCATGTCTGTGTCCTAATCTCTTCTTTGAAGGACACAGATTTGATCAGGACCCACCCAATGACCTCTTTAAAGATCCCATTTCCAGATGCCTGGGTGGCTCAGTTGGTTAAGCTTCAGTCTTTGGCTCAGGTCATGATCCCAGGGTCCTGGGATTGAGCCCTGTATTGGGCTCCTTGCTCAGCAGGGAGCCTACTTCTCCCTCTGCCTGCCACTCCCCCGGCCAGTGCTTTCACTCTCTCAAATAAATAAATAAATAAATAAATATTTTTTAAAAAGGGCTCCATTTCCAAAGAGGGTCACCTAATGAGGTGCTGCAGGTCAACATAAGAAATCTGGATGGACACAGTTCAACCCACCACACCTTGATCTCAGACTTCTAGTCTCCAGAACTGGGAGAAAATAGATTTCTGTCATTTGAAGCCACCAGTTTGTGGTGTTTGCTTCTACAGCCACAGGAAATGAATGTAACTCCGTGTCCCTGTGGCAGTTGGGCTCACACTGCATCCACCCAACCAGCCAGCAGATCTAGCATCTGACCACTTCTCCCCACCCTGGAGCCTTCACCACTCCACTGTCTCCTCCTCACCCTGCCCCACATGTGTGCACCAGGACCATGTCCTCTTCCATGCAAACCCCTCGATGTCTCCCAGCTCAGAGCCCTTCCAGTGGCCCCAAGGCTGGCATGGCCTGGCCACTTTAACCTCACTGCCCTCATTCCCTGCCGCTCATCCCTCCAAACCTGCCTTCCTCGGGCTTTGCTTCTGCTGTCCCCCCTGCCACACTCTTCCCTACACACAAACCCCGCCGCCCACACAGATACACTCTGCTTCCCCCTCTGCTTCTTTACTCTCAAGTGCCACCTGCTCAGTGAGACAATTACAACACCCACTGCCTCCTGTACTTTGTATCCCCCACCCACAATAGCAATGATCACCCTAGAGTATACTATTAATTTCACTAATTTACTGCTTTCACCTGCCTTCCCCCATAGAATAAAAACTCCAGGAACTCCAAGAAGGAAGAGGCTTTGACTACTGTGTTCACTATTTATAGTTCCAGCACCTAGGACAGTGCCTAGCACATAGTAGGAGCTCATTAAATATCATCCAGGAAGGGAGGGGGGAAATACCACTTCCCCCATTTATGACTTCATAATGTCTGGAGTTTAGGAAAGAGAAGATCCTAAGGAAAGGACTCAGTGTCTCCCCAGATTGTCCAGAAGGACAAAAGTGGCCTGGAAAGTCCTGATTTGAGCAAAGGGGTGATGTCCAGGGGACAGGATGCA